ACGATAGTCAAGCCCAGAGACAATCAAGAAATACCTCTAATCGCAGCTTCAAGACCTGATGGCGATTTGCAGAATCCTCGGGTTTCGCTACATACGAGTAAACGTGTGGTTACGGATCTCCCGGTAAATAAAAGACACCAAGGTGACGCTGCGCTCGCAACTCAAATAAGACAGAAGCTGGAGGCTGAATTCGACAAAAGACTCGAGGCTGAGAAAGATTCTGAGCGTGAGAGGCGAATGGAAAGGATGGCAATACTTGAGGGGCTCAAGAAAGGTATGACTCTGAGGCCCTCTGTTGAGTTTTACGCCTGCCCACTAATGGCGTATCATTATCTATTGTGCCTACACGATCCAACGGCCAATTCATATCCTAGCTGCTGACCAAAGTTGTGTAGAGGTCGAGGCAATACGAAGGGAAGCTGTGGAACAGGCGGAGAAAAAAGCCCGAGTCGAGGCTCAGGAGCGAACTGAGCAACTAAGATGGGAGAGGAGAATTGAAGAAAGCAACCTAGAGAAAGAGAAGGCAATGGCGAAAGCCGAGGCTGCTGCGGCGGAGTTAGATGCGAAGTTCGAGGCCGCAAGAGAGGCAGCGATTAGGGACGCGGAGAAGAAGATGAGAGAAGAATTTGAAATCCGGAAGATGGTGAGCCCCCTTTCAACCTGACTGCGGTTGCATGCGTCTATATTAGAGATGAGATTATATTCCGTTTGGTATTATGCCCTTTCAAGCCTATCGCTGACTATCCCCTAAGAAAGAGGATGAAGCACGACAGCAAGCCGAACGCGAGATTCGCAAGAGGATCGAGGCCGAAAAACGGGCCCATGAAGAAGCCAAGGCTGCTGAAAAGTTGAGAGAGGAACTACAGCGGAAGGCCGAAGCCGAGATGCGCGAGAAGAAGAAAGCTGAGGAAAAAGCCTTTGAGGCCGCCATGAAGCAAGTCGAAGAAGAAGGCTATAGGGAGACTATACGGCAATGGGCAGCTGAAAGAGCCGAGAAAGACCTGGAAACCCAAAACCAGATTCATTTCAGGGACGCCGTTGGGCGTAAATACGCCATTCCATTTAGCCAAGGACGCACTTGGGAAGTAAGGCGGATTGAGCGACTATTTGGCTATAAGGGTAGATGGCTGATGCTAATACAGGGTATGAAAGAACTCATTGAAGCGGCATTTCTTCACGTCGATATCGTTGGACCGTAAGTAATTATCGAATTCATTTTCTTACTATGCTCGCCACACATGGACAAGGGCTTCTTTTCCAGCTGGAATCATGCCCTAGGAGCTTTCCATGCTTCTGAAATGTTCATAGGCCGAACTCAAATATGTTGACTCCGAGTGTTGTAGTGAGGTCCTAGAGGGCCATTACGATTTAATCGGTCCAGATGGAACGATTATCCTGCCGCAGACCTGGGAGGAGATCATCAAGCCGGGTTGGAACATCACGATGGCCATGTGGCCAATGGCGGCACCGCCTGACCCACCGCAGCCGCCTGGAGTGCGACCCCCGATTCCGGGACTAAATATACCAGCAAGTGGCCCTTTGCCTCCGGCACCGCCAGACCAGAGCATGAATGAAGAGGCGGCGATCGAGGAGCCCGACGAACAAGTACGGATCTCAGAGGAGCAGACGGGAGACGACGTATCGTCGGGCTACGGCTCAAGTATTAGCTCATGGGAACCTTCACGCGCAAGGAGAATAGCGAATATGTTCTCGACATTGAAAACAACGATTTTTCGCAGACGCCGGCGCGGGTCGTCTGTTACCGCTTCATCATCAGGGTCTGAAGCAATAGGCGATTAATATCCCTACCTGCCTGGGTTTCGCGTCATAACTGTTGAAGTGCTCGTTTAACACGCATACTAAAGGCGCAGTTGGTTTAGAACAATGCGTTTCATGTACACCGGCCCCGTTCATTTCTGCATTCTCTACGATGTCCGAAATGCGGGTTCAATTCGAATCCCCATATTCAAAAGCTCGCGCCCACTCCTTGATACCCTTGAACCTACGGAAAAGCGACAGAATGGCTATATCAAGAACAAGCGATATGATAAAGGTGAGGCTAGTCGGCAGGCTTGGACCGACTGTGACTAGGTTCGACGCTGGGTGGTTCGTTCACTACACCACACCGCTAGTCAGCAGGCGGACTCCCTAAAAGGGCAGGAGCAACAAAATGGTCCACAGTAGCGTTAGCGATGGATGAGTAACGAGGAACAATGAGTATCGCTTACCAACCTTTACGAGTGCCTGACCCCTCAATGACGTCCCTGGCCTGGAGTCCTAATCTTGCCAAACACATTTAAAAACGCTCCGGAAGCGACGGACGCTATCGCGGTCGCGGGATGAGTTAAGGGATGAGGGATGGCTGCCATGCGAACAATTTGGTACTCACAGTTTCATTCTGGGAAAGCTATGTATACCTCGAGCCGGGTAGGACCTGATGTGATGGCATTGCGTGAGTGTATGAGCATTCCGTCTTAACCATTTCTGTATTTAACAATGATCAAGAGCGCTCGGAAAATGAGAGGTCCATGACTAGGGTGCATGAGTGGTGTGGACGTAATTTGAACTCATTGCTGACAGATTAATATATTGAAGTGTCCGTCTACGTATATGGAATAAGTGCTTGTATACCTATATAGTTATCTTCTAACTGTACATCATCACACTACCAAATCTATAAATAGATTCTATCAATTGAGCCACTCTATTGTGAAGCCTATTCCTCATAAAGCGTTTCTTCTGACTCTGATCTCTCGTCTAAGTCTGACTCTTCGTCTATTCCAGAACGTGAGGGTATTCTAATAAAGAGGCCCATTATAAACATCAAAACGCATAAACCGGATATGCCAAAGTATGGCAGTCCAATCCATATCCCACCAAGTCGCATCCCGAGCGAGAACAATCCCGCAAGTGCCGGCGAAGCCCACAAGTCACTCGCAATAGCCGAAATACCCAAGATAGTGAATAATCGGGATCGCTGTTCAGGGCTGACATAAAGTGTCGCGATACTTTTGAGAAAGCCTTCGCTGGATACGCCGAACGCAAGAATGACAAGGCCAAACAGAAATCCAGGCAGTGATCCAGACAGACCCAGGATAAAAGTTCCCACCATCGATGCTATGTATGACGCACGTGCAATAAATAAGTCGCGTTGCTTGTCGTCATTAAATCGAAGGAAAGCGGGTGCTCCAGGCTTTAGAATTGCCATCGTGACCCAAGGCATGATGATAAAGGAAACAGTAATGAAGGCAATGCCATAGGTAGATTGAATGTAGCCCGTTTCTGCGATCGGGATGTGATAACGCTTAGACGTGAATTGACTGAGGAATTGGTAGGTGCTGAGCACTAGTGAGAGTTGAAGCATAGTGATAAGTAGGATCAGGATCATTGATGGGGAGCCAAAGACAACGGCCGATTTTCGCAGTTCACCAAGGCTTTGCATGAGAGTCGCCTTAAATCCACTACTATCTGGCATATCATCATCATCATCTTGGGGTACGTGCTTTAGGCTCTCTGGCACCAAGAAGACGAAAGGTGCCGGAAGAACGCCCAATAAAAAGGATGTAAATATCGGTGGCCACGGACCTGCCGAGGCCATGAGAATCGATGCCAGAGCCGGCGAAATTAGATTACCGACACTACTCGCACCGTGGAGTCGCATGAAGCTAACGGATCTAACTCACAGTTATTAACAATGCTCCTATGAATTGTGATAAGAAAATACTCACCTCTGAGACTCTGGCACTATATCTGTTGCTATACTGATGATAGTGGCTGCGAGAACAGGATTGCCACCTCCTAGTAGGTAAAATATTGGTGACAGCCAAATCAACCGCGGAGAAAGCGTCTGATGGAACCATCCAACGACCATAATCCAGAGTAACGATAAGGACATGCCGATCAAACCCATTGCAAACACAGGCCGTCGTCCAATTCTAGATGAAGTTAGGACAATTAGTCTTAATATGACTACACATTGTTGCGGGTGGGAAATGTATCGAGACTTACTTATCGGCCGCGATACCCCACGGCAACGCGGCTAGAACACTCACGCCAGCGTTAAGCGAAGACATGATGGCGAAGAGGTAAGCGAGCTCGGATTGGATAGCGTCGACCTTGCACATATCTTCATTGATGGGCTCACCATGGCTATGTATTTGGTCGTAGTACTGGCGACATAGAATATCCTCGAAGATCCTGGTCATAGCCATATTTTGGAAACCGCCCGATGCCGATGCAACGAAGATGACGATACAAAGAATGATGACAACACTGCCGGGCTTCTGGGCCGTTGGCACTGAGCGCGCGAGCCAGGCAATTGGAGAACTCTTTCCTTGGATTCCCAGTGCATCGGCGTTAGAGCCGTCTGCGTCTGGTGCATGGGGGATGAAGGGTGTTTGCTCGGTAATGATGTCGTCATTGAGAGGGCCCTCGTCTGTCGGCGACGGCGGCGCGGCCATGTCGCGGAGGTCTTGGTGATTGAGAAAATAATAGATAATACCCACGAATTCCTTCTCTAATCGATCGTGTATCCGCCTATAAACGAGTGAACGTCCTAGAGGACATGCTAATTTTTAGTTTCTAGCTTTCATTATGTATTAGAGATTCAAATAGTCCTATGTAAGCAGTAATTATAAGTCAGAGGGGGTTATCTAGTTTACCCAGGCAGAATCGTAAGCACGTGCTGAGGAATCGTTAGGGTCGTCCTGAATGGCGCCAAGACGTCTCGGACTAAGATATCAATCTAGCGTCCTCGTCTACCATGTAAGCACGTTGCAGTACTTATCTCGGAGTTACCATCTAGAAAAAAAAACACCGATCTCACCTTGCATAGTGTATCACCAGAAAGTAATGTACCAAAATTCTCGGGGTTAAATGGTTTTTATTCGGAATGAATTTAGTACTCTTCTTCAAAGAATAGGGAAAAAAAAAATAGTTAAAAAGAGAGAATGTAAAAATTTGGTTGCTACTCCCAGTTACCTGGGAGGCATCAGGAATTGAGCCCGATGCGGGGGTCGAACCTATGTTAGAGTTAGTATGTTTTGTGTGGAATTTTCGGCTACTTGAGATGCTACTCACCCGCAACCTTGAGATTAAGAGTCTCACGCTCTACCGATTGAGCTAACCGGGCGGTTCGTGTTGTTCGGAGTCGATATAACCTATTTTTCAACCGCAGTGATGGAGACTGCACTGTTTGCTTGGTACAGGGTACCACACATTCGGGTTTTTGGTAATGAGTTTCTGTGAATGGTACCAAGCAGTTGGTTTGCCCACACTGATATCCACTTAGATACGGCATAGGGCAGGGTTAGGGAAGTATTCCGAACCCCGAATATTCTTTGGGTGCTGGTGGAGCAACTCCAACGAATGCCACCAGTTACGTTGCGTCGCGTTATTACAAGTCCAATGAGAATTAGGTACTCTAGAGTGTATTACTGAATTATGACCGGCTGCTCGTGTTCTGCTCATGATTGAAAGAGGAGCACAGTTTTGAGTATTCACTAGTATGCACATGGCTCCATGACTAGGGTCCAAGTCAAGAGAGCCGACCGACCTTGTTATCACTATCGATTTCCATTGTTGCGCACCCTCTATGTTATGTAATCCATGTGCGACATGATAGATGACTTATACGGCTCCGCACAGCAATCAAGATATGCATGCAGCTCGGAGGTGTCATAGTTTTGACGCAGTGTTCTACCCACGTTGCAAACTCCCGTGAGTGGGACGGCCCATCTTATGGTTTCGATATATGCATTCTATCTTGCGCCATCGCTGATTATTCTGAGTTGCGCTTCTTCCGCGATGAACATTTCAATTGTGGCCATTTAGAGTATGCTGGATTTAGATCCATGATTGCTGATTTATTAGATCCAGGTCCGTATTATCCACGGCGATATGCCGTTTCGGCCATAGGCTATCACTGGAGCTCTTGGGCGTGATTTCGTACGCCTCATCTTCAAAGCTAAGGTTCTTAATGGCCCAGCGCGCAACACAAGTGCCCACTATTCGGCTCTACCATAGGCGGTTACACTGCCGTGACGTTGCGTACCCAGTATTTAGGCGACTCCAACATCAAGCTAAAGAAATCCCAGCAAGGTCCCTGTCGATCATTTATGCTTTTATGCCGCCTACTATTCTAGACCACGTGAGCCTTGGAATTAGACTACTCGCCTCAATCTCGTGGAGCGACGCGAAGGGTGGGAAATTCCCCGTAATCTCCATGCCGCTGGCAATATTCCCCATAGCCGAAGGGATTAGGTAGAGCTTGGGTGCCATTATACAACCAGTAATGATTGCCCTGCATCGTCGCTTATAACGTACCTAAGCCAGTAGTAAGTGCCGGTGTAGGCAGTCAAGCCTTGAACTATGAGTCGGCGCTTTAGACAGTAGAGGTAATGTTTAGTCAGCGAGGGTGCTATACCCATGTACGTATCTTTCCATTTAAAGGAGTTGCCATACTGTAGCTTGAAACGTTGGACAGCCCTTCTACCGACGTCTAGAAGGAGGTATTATTTGGTCACCGCAAATTGTCGCCTATTGGGGATTCTTTCTTTTTTTCCCCCTTATTTCATCGTTATTTCTTACATGGTCCTTTGATCAAGCTGTTTAGCCTAATAGATATTAATGTTAAGTGAGATCGAGACGCTAAATCTAAGAGCACGAAATCTTATATCATACTTGAGAGGACAGGTCAATATAATGAGACCAATGAATATTTTCCCCGCAGATTTATTGATGCTATGAGTGGCGAAAGAGTACAAGGGCTCCCACCCTCTATGCTGAATATAGTTACATCACATATTGCACGTATGGAGTCTAGACTGGTGACTTGATTACAATGCATATCGCGCTTCTCTCTATGAAGAGTTATAAAAATAAGGATTTGGGCCGGAGAGTTCCTGAGAACCTACTGTATTGATGTTACCAACTTAGATACAATTATAAACGATGGAGATCTACGTTTTTCTATTTTTGATCCTCCCTTTGATGGCCTTTGGTGTCCAAAACTGTTCTCCAGAGGGAGGAAATGATATCGAGCTTACAGTCAAGACCTCAACGGGAAGTTATACGGCCCTTCAAGATCCTACATATGAAGGGGTTAGGGTATTCCGCAACATTCCCTATGCGAAACCTCCAGTTGGCAAACTACGATGGAAGCCGCCGGTAGCGCCTCAGACGTCAAGCCAGCATCACTACTCTTACAGATTCCCACCCTCATGTCCGCAGTACCTATCGAGTTCACTATCGTTGTGGAACTCGAACATTACGAACTTCTCAATCTCTCTGGGCGACCAGAGCTATCATGCTGGGGAGATGGCGCAGACTAGCGCCGAGGACTGCCTTAGTCTTGCTGTTTGGGCCCCAATCAATGCAACATCTAGCGATAAGCTTCCGGTCGGGTTCTTCTTGCCCGGAGGCAGTTTCAGAGGCGGGGGACTAGGTGCTCCGTACCACAATCCAGCCGGATGGATAAATCGGTCTCAGCAGCATATCATGGTGACCGTCAACTACCGAGTTAACGTCTTTGGATTCCCTAATGCCCCTGGCTTAGAAACACAGAATCTCGGCATCCTTGATCAAAGGCTCGCTTTAAAATGGGTGTATAAGAACATCAAAGCTTTTGGCGGAGACCCGAATCGAATCACATTGTGGGGTCACTCCGCGGGCGCCTTATCTGCTGACATTCTGGGCTTCGCGTACCCAGATGAGCCCCTAGCTGCCGCGCTTTTTCTTATGTCTGGAACGGCCATGCGGACATTCGCCCAGGGAGACAACGCTTTACAAACAAATTTCAGCTTCGTAGCGGATAAACTTGGCTGCCACTTTCCAGAAGATGCAGAAGCAGAACTGGAATGCATGCAACAGGTCCCCGTCACCCTTATATCCAACTTTGTTGGCCATTATGGAGACAACGGTACTAAGCCGTCGCTTTTCTTCCGACCGACGGCTGATAATAAAATTATCTACGAAAATTACACCGAGCGAGCTCTAAAAGGGTTAATCTCTCAGGTTCCAGCACTTGTATCTACCACATCGAACGAACAAGCCAGCTTGATAAAGTACCCAGTTCATGACTTGAGTGGCGGCCCTAATAAGACAGATGTTGACAAAGGCACGTTGAATGATTTCATCTGCCCTGCCTACAATACTTCGAATATACGTGTAGACAACAAGCTTATTACGTATCGATACCAGTATGCTGGGAACTATTCAAATATAACCCCCTACCCTTGGATGGGAGCATACCATGGGGCTGATTTGCCAATGATATTTGGTACCTACAATATTTCAGGCGGGGCAACAGAGTTAGAGAAGCAAGTGGCTGAGAAAATGCAAGACTACGTATTTGCTTTCCTTGCAGATCCCGAGAATGGGTTAGCGAAACTTGGGTGGCCACCAATCCGTAGCTCAAAGAGCAGAGATGGAAATATAATGCGCTTTGGTGATGGAGAAAGCATCATGAAGGTTATAAGTTCTGTTGAGGTTGATAATGCATGCATGGGAATAGGAGCTTACAATCACACTCTAGATCATTGAATAAAGACCCCATAATAATGGGGAGCCACTCATTGTATTCATCCATTGTGTATTCATTGTGCTTACTCTGGATAGAGTTTGGGTCTCAGACAACATGACAAGCAGTTTGACCGACAGCTGTCACAGCACTTAGGCTACCTAACAGGTGCCTCACTAATGTGAACATAACCTTTATTTTCTCGCACTTAGATACCCATGCCTTCTGAAAGCAATACGCACCGTCTGTAGCCATAGGCCTCTAGGGGTATTCAGCGGTCGTCTAGGGGGAGAATCTTGCAACTACCTATGTAAATATGGAGGACACTAGCTTTACTGTACCTGCACTTTTAGTGTTGATCAACTGTGCATTTCAACTTATACTTGTACTTGTACTCGGTTCCCTTCATTTCCTAAAACCACCTTTTCTTTTTCTATTCTTCTAGTTCTTTTCATCAACGACCACCGGGTAAAATCAGCTTCACCTTGAAGCCGACAACCGTCTAACTCATTCTCTGCATCTCAACCATCACCTAGACAGAAGTCTCGCCGAAATGAAGAGACAACAATCCTTTCAAGATGATCCGTCAAAACGACGCTGCCTACAGCAACAATTTGGGATGAACATTCAAGAAAACCAACCCCCAGTCAGCCAGTGGCCATCTAACAGCCGTCAATTCTGGGATCGTTTCCCTCAGCAACCCGTTCAGCAACACGTTCAACAGCACTACTACTACAACAACGGTAGTAACAGCAATACCACTGCCTTCCCGTTGGATAATAGAGGTTACAACGGCTCGGTAAACTATGTTCCCTTACCGCACTCCCCATTACAGTACACCCCTATGCAGTACACCCCTATGCAGTACGCCCCTATACAGTACACTCCAATGCAGTTCACTCAAACACAAATTGCCCTAGAACAACTCCTCCCAACACAGTTTACAGGATTAAGCACAAACTTTGATATGACATTTGGGGGTGGTTGTATCAACAACAATATTTTGCTACAGCATGATACACACATGCCGAACTACAAATTTGACTTTAATGTCACGACGCAGAATCAACCCAATACGGAGACTATTCACCCCAACCTGCTCGAAAAAGCTGGAACCTCTCAGCCACCGTCGGAGCCACGGCGGCCTTTTCGGTGTGTTGTGGATATGCCGGGTATGCCTACCGGCATCAATGCGAATTATAGCCCACCTATTGGGTCAAATATACCTGATAAAGTACCCATGAACGTTCCGGAACACTACGAACTTGGGCTGTGTGTACCGGCAGTCAGGCGGGAGCTTTCTAAGTCTAAGGATGTGAATGGCGTGGATCTTGCTGCAATCGGCCGGTCCAAACCTACTCCCCAAAAGGAGAAACAGCGTGAAAATGACCTAGAGGTACGTAGAAGCTGCCTGCAGTATTACAGCTATCAATTGAATTTCAGAATCTGCCGGGCCTGGTAGAAACTAAAAGGGCAAAACTAACCAGTCTCAGATCCAGAAGCCAGATCCATATGGGGGACTCGGTCCCATTATGGACTGGCTGGATCTCGAGAAACAGCACGAAATTGCACTTGAAGAGGAGAAGAAAAAGAAAAAGAAGAAGGAGAACCAA